GGGTCATCTAGTCCAACCCCCTCCACAATGCAGGGAATTCACAAATACCTCCCCCCTATCCCCAATGATTGCCGCTCCACACCCAGAAGATGACAAAAAACCTCCAGAATCTCCAGCCAAACTGGCCTGGAGAAAAATTGCTTTCTGACCTGGCCAAAATGCTAGAGCATTGATGTGTGACATGCCCAGTTTGATGATATCACTTCTGAGTGATGTCATCATGCCAACGATGTCAATGCAGGAAGGGGCTATTTGGGGGGGGGGCTTCCCCTGCCAGCCAGTTGGCCAGTAGCAGACTGGAGTCCTCAAAATGGGAGGAACCCCTGCCCCGACCAGGGGTTGGGCAACCCTATCCCAGGCTCAGGCTCCTGATTTCATGAGTGCAGTCTCCTTTTTGGTTGATAATGGAGCCAAGGAATAGAAAATCTTGAACTGTTTCAATTTCTTCATCATCTACCTTAGCGATGTGTAATTCTACAGTAGTCATTACTTTGGGCTTTTTGATAATCTATATATCTAATAGCGAAGGTGCCCCCTGCGTGCGGATATCTAAGTCCGCACATCAGGGGCACGGGGGTGGGCCGGCAGTTGGAAGCCGCTCAGGCCTCCCGCCGGAGCTGAGGCGGGGAGAGAGGAGGAGATCGGCCGTCGGAGCAGAGGCGGGGAGGAGGAGACCGGCGGAGGGGGAAGAAGCAGGGGGGGAGAGATTGGCGGGGCCCAGTGGCTGGAAGCCGCTCAGGCCATGCCGTCGGTGTCTGGGGATGGGGGGGGGAGGGCTTACCTGCTGCTGCTGCTTCCTCCTCCTGCTCTGCGTGGAGCTCTTCTCCCCCTTCCGCGAGTATCACGGGTCCCCTTTCTTGTAATAATTATAATGTCTTATGGCATTGTGTGTAGAATAGCCAGGAGAGCCTAAGATTGTTTGGCAGTTCTAGCTCTGTTAGCGTTATGCACCACTAGGTGGCGAACTAGACTTATTTTTAAGGCAAGAGACATTTCAGAGATGGTTTGCCATTGCCTGCCTCTGCATCGCAGCCCTTGTATTACTTGGAGGTCACCCTTCCAAATACTAGTCAAGGCTGACCCTGCTTAGCTTCCGAGACCTGGTGGTATCAAACTAGCCTGGTCTTTCCATGTCAGGGCTTGTCTTTTTGATGTTCAGCTGTAATCCTGCTTTGGCACTTGACAGCTAGGGGGATACTTTATTCAATAAGCTTTGAGGTTTTTTCTACAAGGCATCACACTTTAAGAACCACTGCCTATTCAACCCACCGTTCTGAAGTTAGCAACATTAAAGCAAATTAGGATCTGGGTGCATGATAACATCAAATAATACCCAGAACAGGAAAATGAAACCACGTATGTTTGGCCAGTATCTCCTACACAATGTGAAACCCCACAGTTTCGAGTGCTTCTGGGTTCTTTGTTTCACAGTTTCTAGTCTCCATGGTTGCAGAAAGAAGTCTGAAAACATGACAGCAATACATCCTAAAGGGTGTGGGGAAGTAAAAATACAAACTAAGTAAGCGCTCAAAACCTTTTTATTACAAATCACTTTTTATTAAGCAAAAAAAAAAAAACTTAATCAAAAGTTAAGGCATGAAATCATGCCCCCCTCACCATGGTTTAGGTGAACCGTTCCAGGATACAGACCTCACAGAATAAGACAAACATATCAACTGCAAGTTATTTATGTGGATATTTATATCCTGCTTTTTTCACCAATGTGGATCCAAAGCAGCTGGCAGCATCTTTCCCCCTTCTTCCATTTTATGCTCCCAAGAGCTGCTCTGAGACCGATGAGGCTGAGATTGGGGGGCAGAGTGGGGATTCCAGCCTGGGTCTCTCAGATCCTTGTCTGACACTCTCACCACTACACTACACAAACCCCATAAAAATGAGACATTTAGGATCAGTATCTGTGTGTTCTGAGCAAGTGCAAGTGCCTAAGGGAATGGGGGCTTTTTTCCTTCCAGCAGCAGTCCCTCATACCTCACAAGGTGCTGCAGTGGAAAACCTTCAACTTTTGGTGCACTTTGAGCGGGGGACAAAGCTGCCATTAGACGGTGCTGAACAGCTGCTGGGCACATGCAGTGCTTTGATCATGGCCCACATGAATTACATTTGGCTAAATGCATTAGAAATATCCAAAATAATTATTTTCTATTTCCAGCATGGCACCTTAAGCTAAGCGACCCATCAATAGAGTAGTATTGCTGTAATAAGAGCAGGTGGAAGATATAAAGGGGCCCATTTCTTCTGCACTGCTGTTTTCAAGAAAGGATTTGCAGCCAGTGAATTCTCTCTTATTTCAACTCGTAGAGCTCAGCTGCAAGTGCATGTATAAAGGAGGGTTCGGATGCTGCATAGGAGATGCCATTTTGGATAATGAAGCCCCAGAACTGTTCTGATCACAAACCAAACCAAAGCAATCAGTTGGAGGATCTTTTTTTTTTCTTTTGAGGCACCAGTGAAGCCATGTGCAATCTAAGGAGGCACATCCCAGCATCCTCTGCAATATTGCAGGAGATCCCGGGACTAACAACCAAAATTCCTCATAAAACAGAATAATGCAGTGCAGCTGGGTGGATCACAGATGTGAGAAAGGATATTCAGTCAATCAGGAAGCAGAGTACAAAACATAAAACAGTTATACTTCGGTTGTTTTCCTCCCACTTCAGTGGCTCTTTCAATGGAAGGTTCCTTAGACTGGAGGAAGGCTTCCAACTTTGCTTATTGGAGCGGTAGGATACGAGCCAGTGGCCTCCATCAGGCCATCCGCACACAGAAGTTTCCCCACTTCCCTCAGTATTCAGGCAGCCCTCCAGAATATCATTATTGGGGCACAGGAACTGAGGAGAGGAACAGCCATGTGTGTTGGTGGGTTGGAGTGATGAAGAGGAACCCCTCTCCTCAATGGAGCAGGGGCTGGAGAAGAGGAAGGAGGAAAGATTTCTCCCCTTTTCCTCCCTTTCTCCAGTCCTGCCCCCACCCCATCCATGCAGCTACTCCTCTGCATAGATCCCATGACATCTTTCTCAGGGGTTAGAAGGGGCTGCAGGAACACAGAGGAATGTTGGAAAACTCAGCATTCTATACACAGAGCGGTAGGATATTATGTACTGAAGAAGTGCACCCTATATCCCCTGTTCCCTAATACTCTGAAGCAGCAGCACTCTGCTGAACAAATGGCAATGTGCAGTGCCCTCTCACCTGTATCACACACCCTTTTTCTGTTGCTAAGCAGCACATTTATGGAGGCAGCTTCATAAAAACGCCCTTGCAGGAGAGATGAAACTGCTCAGTTCCCTGCTGAGCTCTGTGTGTGTGTGTGTGTGTGTGTGTGTGTGTGTGTGTGTGGTCAAGTTGCAACTGACTTATGGCAATCTGGTTTTCAAAGCAAGAAACTAACAGAGGTGGTTTGCCCATTGCTGTTCTGGTGCCTCTGCATAGCAGCCCCTGGACTTCCTTGGTGGTCTCCCGTCCAAATACTAACCAGGGCCGACCCTGTTAGCTTCTAACCTCTGATGAGATCAGGCTAGCCTGCGCCAATGGCTGCTTCATATGTAATAATTTCCCAACATGGAACTCATCTCTCACTGTAAGGAAAAGCATGCATGTCATAATCTCTGAAGTAGCAAGCACAGTGTATTTCATCATCATCATCATCATCATCATTTATTGTATTTATGAATCACCCAATCCCTGCCACAGCAGGGCTCTGGACGATGTACAAAAGCCATAAAACAGACAAGATAAAAACCAGTTAAAGCATTAATAAAGCATTTCAACAATCAGATGGCGAGTGATTAATCAATCCCAATTCCAGCTGCTAGCTACTTCGCAGATGGGGGGGGGGTGAGGTAGATGTAAACAGGAGAGAAGGATGCCAGATGTAAAGTTTACAGTGCTATAAAACCAGCAAAAGGACAATGAAAACTGAGACAGCAAACAATGAAACCTTAGATTCTCGTGGGGGTGGTGGGGGTGGGGACAAGTGGAAGTGGGAGGGCCAAGATGGAACTGTTGCTGTCCTCAGCCAAAAGCCTGGTGGAACATCTCTGCCTTGCAGACCCTATGGAATTGCATCAGATCCCGCAAGGCCCTGGTGGTACTGGGCAGAGAGTTCCACCAGATTGGGGCCAGGACCGAAAAGGCCCTGGCCCTGGTCGAAGACAGCCAGATGTCTTTGGGTCCTGTGACCACCAGCAAATACCTCCCTGGGAGTGCAACGTGTTGCTGTCCTCAGCCAAAAGCCTGGTGGAACATCTCTGCCTTGCAGACCCTATGGAATTGCATCACATCCCGCAGGGCCCTGGTGGTACTGGGCAGAGAGTTCCACCAGGTTGGGGCCAGGACTGAAAAGGCCCTGACCGAGGACAGCCGGATGTCTTTGGGTCCTGTGACCACCAGCAGATACCTCCCTGGGAGTGCAACACTCTCCCAGGGAGGTAATGGAGGAGATGGTCCCATAGGTATGTCGGTCCCTGGCCACTCAAGGCCTTATACCAAAACCTTGAACTTGACTTGATATTCCCCTGGGAGGCAGTGTAGCTGGCGCAGCACCAGATGCTGTGAATGCACAGATTCACAGCACCGGAACTGTGAATGCACAGATTGGAAAATAAAAACAAATACCTGCATCGGATATCATGCAAGCCTTTTG